TGTCTGCAGAGAACAAAGGTCGGGGAAGACCTACTTTTCAACGTATACTCTTTGCACCTTATGGATTTTCCACCATATGCCTACGTTACCTATGCAGAAGGTAGAATAATTTAATTTTAAAAGAAAATGAGAAGACAAGCCACAGACTGGGAGAAAATATCTGCAAAGGACACATCTGATTAAGGACCATTATCCAAAATATACAAAGAACTCTTAAAACTCAACGATAAGAGGGGCACCTGGGTGGCTCAGTCTTTAAGCGTCTGCCTTCGGCTCAGGTCATGATCCCAGCGTCCTGGGATGGAGCCCCGCATCGGGCTCCCTGCTCTGCAGGAAGCCTGCTTCTCCCTCTGCCACTCCCCCTGCTTGTGTTCCCTCTCTCGCTGTGTCTCTGTCAAATAAATAAATAAATAATCTTAAAAAAAAAAAAACCTTAAAAAAAAAAACTCAACGATAAGAAAACCCAATTAAAAATGGGCCAAAGGCCTTAACAGCTCACCAGAGAAGATATACGGGTAGCAAATAAGCATATGAAAAGATGCTCCTTATCCCATGTCATCAGGGAGATGCAAATTAAAGCAACAATGAGATACTGCTACAAGTGTATTAGAATGGCCAATATTAGAACGGCCAAAATCCAGAACACTGACACCACCAAATGATGCTGAGGCTTTGGAGCCATCTGAGGATGCGGAGTGGATTTCATTCACTGCTGGTGGGAATGCAAAATGGTACGGCCACTTTGGAAGACAGTTTGGGGGTCTCTCATAAAACTAAACATACTCTTACCACAGGGTCTAGCGATTGCACTGATCAGATCAGACCTTGGGATTTACCTAAAGGAGTTGAGAACTTATGTCCACACAAAAGCCTGCACGTGGATGTTTAAAGCAGCTTTGTTTACAATTGCCAGTGCTTGGAAGCAACAAGATGGCCTCTTTCAGTATGGGAATGGAGAAATAAAGTAGATCCAGACAATGAAATATTATTTAGCATGAAAAAAAAATAAGGCATCGAGCTATGAAAAGACATGGAGAAACCTTAAATGTGTCTTCCTACGTGAAAGAAGCATGTCTGAAAAGTCTATATAATGAGGGGCGCCTGGCTGGCTCAGTCGGTAGCGCATGTGACTCTTGAGCTCAGGATCGTGAGTTCGAGCCCCACATTGGGGGTAGAGTTTACTCTAAAAATGAGAAAAAAAGTGTATATACTGTATGATTCCAACTATATGGACACTCTGGAAAAGGCAAAACTATGGAGACAGTAAAAAGATCAGTGTTTGCAGGGGTTTGGGGGGACGATGAGTAGGCAGAGCACAGAGGATTTAATGAAAATTCTCTGTACACTAGAATGATGGATATATATCATTATACATAGCATGTCCAACACCGCGAGTGAACCCTCAGGTAAACTATGGACTTTGGGTGACAATGATGTGTTAGTGTAGACTCGTCAGTTGTGATAAACTTTACCCCTCTGGTGGGGGAGACTGTGCGTGTGGGGGGGCTGGGGGTGCATGGGAAATCTCTGTACCGTTCTCTCAATTTTGCTCTGAACCTAAAACTGCTCGAAAAAATCAAGTCTTAATTTAAAAAAGAGTATTTAAGAGGAGAGACAAAAGAAAGAAAAGGGAAACAAGAGGAGTCTTCTAGCTGGAGCAAACAAGGAGCTCAGAACCTCTCGATTGTTATCGGAAACAACTTTTATCTTCCGTAGACGCATAAGACACAACCTGAAGACCAAGCTGCCCACTTCCCAAACCATCTGAGGCAGTTGCGGTAGGAAGCTTGTTTTTTGGCCCATCCCCAATAGTCAAACAGGCCAATCGTGTTGGAGTAAAAGGACCTTTCTTTTTTTTTTTTTTTTAAAGATTTTATTTATTTGAGAGAGAGAGAGAGCTGGAGCAGGGGGTGTGGGAGAGGGAGAAGCAGACTCCCCACCGAGCAGGGAGCCCGACTCCGGGCTCCATCCCAGGACCCCGGGATTATGATCTGAGCCGAAGGCAGACGCTTAACGACTGAGCCACCCAGGCGTCCGGTAAAAGGACCTTTCTGTCCTGGGAACCACATGGCTCAAGTTTCTCTTGGCAGAGCCAGACCCCCAGGAGCTGTCCTTGCATAGCTGGGAAGCGCCCTGGCTCCAAGGTGGGGGTGTCTGCACACGTGGGTGTGGGCGACTGTCCCCAGCATGGGCCGCCTGCCAGCCACCCTCCAGCCCTGCGGCTGCACACGCCTCACCTCTCAGCAGACCTGCGGACCAACTCGTGGTTCAGGAAGCCCGCGGCAGCGGTAACGGTGGGGAAGCGAGCCAAGGGCCCGCAGGTTAGCGTTGTGCTTGGGGCGAGAGAGGAGACAGCTGGCTGGCGTGTGTGCACGCCGGGTGGGGAAACCAAACTGCAGGAAGCCGTTGAGAGGCGAGTGGAGCCGTTCAGGCCAAGGTCAGGGGAGCCGCTTACAGAGCAGCAGTAACCCCGAAGCGCCCACTTCTAGTGTCCCCTCGAGGGGGGCTCAGGGAAGAGACCGCACGGGCATTTTCAGGAGGCTGGCAAGATACAGATTTGGGCAGTGCTTGCAAGGGGTGGCCTCTAGCTAAGTGCCTGTTCAGCTCACCGAACGGATGAATAATGAGCTCCCCTCCCTTCCCGGCTCAGCATTATCTATAGAGATCGAGGGTCCTTTGAGGTTTTGTGAGGCTAGCTAGAGTTCCTTTGTGCTTCTAGCAATCATGGAAAACACAGAAACACACCTGGGCTGGCTTTTGTGGTTCTAATCAGGCCCCCGGAGCCATGCCTAGATTCTGAAGAGATGCTTCAGGAACAATAGAACTAGCACCTCGGCCACACCGAGTGTCGGTCACGTGCCCAGCTCTGTATCTGCGTGAAGCCGCGTCGGGGCTCCGTCCCGTGTGCCAGGGAGGCAAGGCGCTCACGCCCCTGGTTTTCAGATGAGGAGGATGAGGCTCAGGGAGGCCGGGCAGCTCACCCGGGTTCACGCGGCGGGGGAGGGGCAGGGCCGGCATGCGAAGCCCGCGCCCTTGACCGCGCCGTCCTTGACCGCACCGCCCTTGACCGCACCGCCCTTGACCGCCGAGCACCTGTGCCCGCTGGAGCTTTCTGATGAGCCCAGCTGTCAAAACCAAACAAGCACGAGGAAAGGAGGGGACAACCGGGGCTGCGTGCGTTTCCGAGCTGGCTTGAGGCCAGCTGGGGGGAGGTGGGGGTCCCTCAGCAGGACCTACTGTCTCTTCTGGCTAACAGCAGGCCTCTTCTGGGACCTTTCTTTCCCTTTCCCCTACCCCCTTCTTCACCCCCATTGCGGAGGGGGTGGGTGGGTGAGCGGGGCG